TCAGACCCCACATCTCTCCCAATTCACATCTCCACAGCTTTTCCAACAGTAAGTTGTGGTCTACAGTGTCGAAAGCTTTCTTTATGTCTAGATAGGCAACATCCACTTGCTTTGATCGAGCAACAATACTTACAATGTTGTTCAAGTGGGCCAATAATTGCTGCAGAGTAGAACGCTGTTTCATGAAACCAAACTGGTTATGACTAATGGTAGCAGCAATGTGAGGGTAAATCCTCTCAAAGATAAGGCGTTCTAGTACTTTCGATAGGATACATAGTAGTGAAATCGGCCTATAGTTCTTAACAGATGACCTATCCCCTGATTTATAGACGGGAGTCACAAGGTGAGTACGCCACTCAACTGGTAGATAGGAAAGTCAAACACATTGAGAGAATAGATGGTGGATAGGCTCACATAGCGATATAGCACATGATTGGAGGAGACAAGCTGGGATGTCATCAATACCACAACTTTTGTGTACATCTAGGGAGGAGAGACACTTATAAACATCAGAAACAGAGAATGAGAAATTATCAACAGTGTCAGCATCAGCAGGAGGAGAGGATACATTTGGAGGAGCAGAGGGGTGAGAAAAGACTGAGTGGAAAAAGTCATTAAATAAAGATGCAATAGCTAAAATAAAGGAAGAATATAGACATGGCTCCATTGCAAGTTTATTTTCAAGTTGATACAGTGGACCTGAACAGGCTAAAAGACGATGAGAAAGACCTGGCACATCACAGACTAGCCACCATTGCTCAGTGTAAAAATGAAATTTACTGACAATTAGAAAGAATTAATACGGTATGGGGAAGGTAGCTTGATTTCCCGCGAACGGAAGTTTCCTATCCCTGTGAGCTGTACAGCGTCTTTCACACTTCACTTGGATCACATTTTCCGTTCCGTATCCACACCTACCTGTACTTTTAATTGGGAAAGAGGGAGTGTCTTGCATACGGAAAGGTTGTTCCGTGATCCAAGTGAGCTGAAAGACGCTGTAACTCTAATATCTATGATCAAAACGTCACGTGTAGCCCCACCCACACGCAAATAAAATGGCTGAAAATTTCATCCATGCTCCTTCTTCTTGTTGTAACTTGTTTACTACCCTGTTTTGGCCACTGCTAGCCCTGCAACTAACATGAAAGATTATTGTGCTTGCTATTACCTGAAGAAAGAATCGAGAGATGCAAAATTTTAACTGAGTTTCTGAGCGGCAATGTTGAAGACAAATAACGAAGGCTTAGAGAAGTACAGCAGACTGAGTGAGACTTTTTTCTGGAGTGCAAAGTCTTCTTGTTCAATTATATCTTGGCCTAGAGTGCTCCTTTTGCTTTATTTGATTTTAAAATAATAAAAACATGATTATTGACATATTTAATGAGATGCAAATGATATTCACGAAGCTTCACGTCATGAAACATCATGGCGGCTCCCTTTCATGTAGACCGAAAGAACCTTTTGAGAACCTTCCAGAGTACCTAGAGACTCCAAAATTGGTACAGATTTTCGGAAGAACCCGTTTTGCAACTATACCAAGTTTCAAGTTGCTAGCATAAATTATAGAGAAGTTATAAGGGTGGGTCAGTGGTCAAACTCAACTGAAACCGACTATAGATTAAATGTAAATAATAAAACACATTTGACTTACAATCTGAGAATTACAATGGTTGAAGTAGAGAAAAAATAAATAGATAAGTGTATATTATTACTGATGATAATATCATATGTTCAGACTTACAAACTATGGGTATTGGTTCAGTGTTGATCAAATCATAAAGAAAGTAAATATTTTGCATGATACAAAATTATGACTTACTCTCTATTGTGTAATAAAATACAAGTAACAGTTCAATTTTGGATGATACAAGTAATTGTATAAACAAAAATGATCACATTTTGACTTACTTGCTATTTAAATAATGGTTGGAAAAAAAGAGTTAAAAACTTAAGCAATGATACACATTTTTGACTTACTGCCTATTGTGTAATGAAGAATTAAGGTAACAAAAATAAAGAATTTTGACTTACTCTCTATTTTTTAAATTTTTGATTAGATCAAAAGGCAAGTTACAATTTAACAGTATACATTATGACTCACTTGCTATAGTGAAATAAAAGCAATCATTGTTGATCAGAGGGGAAGAAAATTTTAAAATTTATGCACATTATGACTTACAAACTATTGTACAATTATTACAGTTGCGTTATATATTGTCAATTGGAGCAGGGAGAAAGAAAGCTTAAAAATAAATTCAAATAATATAATATAATGACTTACAAACTGTTGCAAAATAAAAATGACATATCCAATTATCATTGGTTAAATAGAAGATAGATTAAAAGATAAAATATAGTCGATAAGTAGAATTGACTTACTCCCTATAAGATAGAGAAATGCACACAATGACAATGTATCAAAATTTGTGTCATGTATAATACACGACCAAAAGTTATGGTTGTACCTCAGATGCATCCCA